TTTATGGAGTCGCACTCGGATATATTTTTTTTTTTTACCTTTTGAAGATGAAGCCAAGAAAGTGGTAAATCCGTTTATATATGATTAAACAAGGGACAGATGCAGAGCCAGGTTTCTTGGAGTAACTTAACTTTTTTGTGTGTTTATTTCTGGTATATTGATTTGAGTTTTGAAAAAAATTATTCGATTAAAAGGTGACCAATATTTAAAAAATAATAAAAATTTAAGGGCAAACATGATGCTGTTTGAATGTTTTATAACAGGCATCCCCAAACTCGGTCCTCATGGCCCCCCTGTCCTGCAGGATTTAGAGGTTTTCTTGCTCCAGCACAGCTGATTTTAATTGAAAGCTGATTAACAGGCTTTTGGTCTACTGCAATCATTATAACCAGCTGTGCTGAAGCAGAGAAACCTCTTAAACCTGCAGAACAGGGGGCCTTGAGGACCGAGTTTGGGGATGCCTGTTTTAAAACATAGCATACACCAATTTAGAGAAGATTATTGTTAACTCACAACAAATGCTTCTGTGTTGCAGCTGTTATTGAAGTAATGAACCTGAAGATCCAACAATTACAACAGAGCCAACAGGCGTCACAGATGATTGGAAGCACTAAGGCCTAATCAGAAGACATGATTGAGCCATTTGGAATTAGACATTTTGAAGTTTATCCTCACAAGATGACGTAAAATGTACAATTCAGTTTAAATTGTTGGTGTGATAGTATTAGGAGGATCTCTTGTGTACTTGCAATAATTTCAATTGAATAAATTTGGTGTTACCACACTATATTTCCTGTGGCTTATTTATTCCAACTGGTGTTTTAAGTAACAAGTCTGTCAAGTGAAGCTGTTAAACTTTGCTTAACTTTTTATTTTGGTGTCTGGTTTGTCTGTAGGCTTCACGATAGTCAAAAGATTCGATTTTCTAGTTATTTTTTAATAGTGGGAAAACTAGATTTGTAACTTTGCACTAGCATTCCTCTGTTACTGTGGTCAGTAAGGTAGGTTTGCCTCACTAGATAAATACATAATTCATGACAACACCCCTGTGCCCTATTGTTTAAGAAACATAAAAGGTTTTTAAAACAAAAATTTTAATTTTAGAAGTTTCCACATGTATCTTTGATAACTGATCATTAGTAGATTTGCCTTTTTAAACTGTTTGCCTTGGATCAAATATTTCTGCCACTCCTTTGTTTCCCAATTGGATTGTTTTTTTTTCATGGGCTTGCAAGCTTCAAACATTAGTTTGAATTTCTTCAGACCTCAGAGCATGACTCCAAGTAAGAGATCTTTGTCCCTGGGTGCGTTTGTAAATTCCTATCTGGTGTTTTATGTTTCTTTTAGGTATAGGCCTTTCAGCTGATGTTTTTAAAGGCTTCTGTTAGCATCTAAACCTGTTTTGAGCTTTTCTTAAGTTGCACGTTCACACAAAAACCCGTTTGCCTTTGGGGCACGTTCCTTTTTCAATGTCACCATGACTGGACCTTCTTTTGTTGTGTTTTTTATATACTGCAGTAGAACAGATGTTTGAGGCAACTGCAAATTGTTTCCAGTGATTAACCAGACTTGTGGACGTCTACATTTTTCTTCCTGACATCTTTGCATATTTTCTTTCAAGGCAGCAGTGTTTTGAATTAGGGCTTAAACCGTATCAACAGGTGTGCCTGTAATTTAGTAATTTATCCAAACAATTTCACCTCCTAATTTATAATCTCCTTGACTCTTTTCCTATTTTAAAGTCAAACAGTATTTCAAAATTCTTTGACCTTGTTTAACCTTTGAAGCCTCTCTTATAACTGTAAAACTCAGAATTAAACAGCAAAGCTGTGAAGGCACAGCAAACAACACTAGTTGTTGGTACCACTACTGCAATAACTATCACAATAAGTATTGCTCATGTATGCTGAATGGATTTGGTGTACTGTGCATGTTTTTAGGAGTAGCAGGAGAGAAGTTATGGCATCAGTCAATTGTATGCAAATCACTACACTGTGGCCTAGAACAATTATTCTAGTAATGTATAATGTCAAACATTTTGAAACAGTTTTTATTGGGGTAAATTAATATTACATGATTGTATTCTAGAATTTACCCATACACCCTTTGATTTAATAGCTCAGGGAATACAAAATCACATGGTGGATGACTATTTTTGGATCTAGTGAAGATTACAAATACAACAAAATAATTAAATTCATTGCATATTTTGCGTTTAAAAATTGAGAGGCACCTTCACAAACAAAAGTTGTAAAGTGGTTTGGTGGAGAGTCACTTAAGGAGATACAGAACAGTTATATTTGAGTGTTCTGTATGCCCCAGTTTGACTTATTTCGTTCTACTAAATGTTGTAATAAAGGGTGTTTGTTAAAATGGGACTTGCTGCAGGTGGTCACTGACCGTTTATAAGGAAGCCAAATCACAGACCATCACAAAGTAATCTAAGCAAAAAATGGAAAGTTTGGTGGAAGGAAAAATGTGATACAAGAAGGTGCACAGACATAACTCCAGCCTTGAGAGATTTGTAAAACAGAGCAGAGGTTGGATTGTGGCTGGAGTTGTTGCTTGAAGAGAAATCTGCAGATGTTGATCAACTTTACTTAGGGCCGGATCTATCAAAGGTTTGTGTGTATAAAAACTTGAGCTATTTCACTGCGCACGCTAAAAAATGTACAAACTGATCTATCAACAGCGTGCTAAAAGGATTTGGTCTTTAAAACTTGCTAAATAGCGCCTCTTATCCATTTAGTACTTTTTCTGCAATGAATATGCAATATGGGGAGTTTACACGCAAAATTGCGTCTTGTGGGAAGAGAACATGTAAATATATTAATTTAGCACTCGCAAAGTGATTTATCAAACCTGAAAGCAATTTTGCTAACGGTATCTGACTCTATATGTAACGTGTTTCAAAAGAAGGTGCAAATGGTCTGTATGCGTAATTGCGCACACATGGCAGCGGTTATTGTCGCAAGAAGGAGACATCGAAATGAAGCAGATATATATATATATATATATATATATATATATATATATATATATATATATATATATATATATTTAATTTTTTTTTTTTTTGGAGGGGGTGGGGGTGTCACTGTAAGATTTAAATTTCTTAATGCACTAGTTTGTACAAACTACTTTGCCGCAAACCGCAAAACCATCATTTAAATAGGGCGTCTCCAACAGTTTTGCACCTGCCACCAGTTACGCAATCACTCTTGTTAAATCACCCGCAAACCATGGTTCAGCCCCTTGTGCAAAATTCCAGTTTGCGAGCGCAAATTACTGCACGCAAAATTGGATCTTGATAAAACCGGCCCTTAGTCCGTTCCATGTTCAGCACAGTCATCTATTGGGATATCTCTAGAGCATTTTGGATATCCCTATGCTTATTACAATAATATTGTGATAAATGGACACTAATCAGTATCTAAAATCTTTTTTCATTAGCTCTAATCTTCATTAATCAAAAAATGTGTGGCTGAATCTATGCAACCTATAATGAATTAATATAATAAAAATCCCTTTAAGAATTGGATTACTGAAACTATTTACATATATATATATATATATATATATATATATATATATATTCTTAAAACAGTTGCGGATCTAGACCAAATGTACCAGGGGGCCAGGAGGAGGCCAGCGTGTTTTCATGGGGGGCACAGAAAAGCATTAAATAAAAAAACAGGACAAGGGATTCAAATATATTACGAGAGCTACATAAAGTGAAATTTCTATTCAATTAGGTTTACTTAAAATTCTATTTATGAGGTCAATATACATTTATAATTTAGGAATTTTACATATTTTCACTTAATTTAATATCAAATTAACATTTTCTATAAAATCTTAATTAGAACTCAAGAAACACTCAATAATGCAGCTGTAAACATTTTTTTTCATTTGTTTAAAAAAAAAAAATTTAGCAGATGAAAACTGGGATCCTATCTCAACACCACTAAAACATAATTTGTAAAGAAAAAAAATGAAATGGATCCAAAGGACCTATCAGTAACCATGGCTACGTTCACATTGCAGCCTGAAATTACCCAAATCCGATTATTTTTGCCCACATACGCCCTGGATCTGATCTTTTCATGGCAATCTGAACAACACAAATCCGATTTTTTCCAATCTGACCCAGGCCACTTGGCTATGTGGTCCTGAATCCAATACGGATCTGATCTTTTCAAATGCGACCTGTGTCTAAACAGCCAGGTCACATTCATCCAACCTGAACATCATTAATGCCCAACAAAGGTCACTATTCTGTGTCTTGCTATGAAGACGCGGCAAGAAATGTGTAATCAGAGAGCAGTATTTATCTTTAACCATATTGAAAATATTGTGTTTTTATGGTTGGAAAAGACCACTAGATGCGCACCGGCACTACCATCCATGTTTACTTCTGGAAAATAAAAGCATGCTGGCCTGTGACGTCATTGCGTCCTCTACTGTGCATGCAGGACACTTGCGTTGTAGGACTGCAGTTCACACAGGAGATCACATACAAGTCGCATATATTTGAAAATATGAACGGCAACGTAAAAAAAAAATCGGAATTGAGCATCAAGGCCTGCAGTGTGAACGCAGCCCATGTCTGTTCCAGCGCATATCATCATTAGAATTTCTTTTAAGTATTATTTTTTCAGTACAGGGGACAGGACATAATTTACAGGGGCACTGGCCCCCGTTGAAGCCTGTCTAGAACCGCCCATGTCTTAAAATATCTGCATGGCATTCTTAACCTATAAAAACATCTCTAAATCATATGAAAGCAACTTCTCTAAAAAGTGCTGAATCATAAAGTTTGCTTAATGGAAATAAGGGGGAGACTTAAATTTGCCAGTTCCCATATCCTTGGGTAAAAATGCAAAACTTCTAAGATCAAGGCAGTTCGGTGTTTCTCATGGTTACATCAACATCCTCTCCAGCAGCGGGGAACTGCCTCCTCATCAGGGAGGTTCGTCGCAGCCGTTTCGTTGTTTTTAAGGTGGGAGCGGGCGGGGTGCAGTCAGAAGGAGCAGCAGCTGTCACACGCTGCATTAACCGCTGCGTGGCTCTCAGTTAGACATGAGAAATTAATAGAGAATTACTTCAACTAATGTTACAGGCGGATACATCTTTAGAGATTTAGCGAAAGTGCCGTTTAACTGCTAGTCACTGGTTAAAGTTGCTTTGCGCGAGACTAACTGCTGAAAGTTGAGCACGCGCGCGACAGAGGGACCACAGCGTGCTGAGACCGCATTTACAACCGACAAAGAAAAGGACTACAAATACAAAAAAAAAAAGATATTTAAAGATTTATACGAAAGAAAGTGGTCTGCATAAATTCTATTCAGCAGCACTAACCAGCGTAGAGGACGAATATCGAGTTATTATGGTAAGTGTGCGGCCTGGAGGCTCTTTCACCTCGGCTAATGACTGCCAACCTGTTTCAGTTCAGTCTTCTCTGCTTCTTTCACTCTGTGCTACGTGAAGGTCGTTCATACTCGGCAGCTCCTTGTGTGTTTTGTCAACGTTTAAGACGCCGAGAGACTAATAGAGAATAGAAGATTCAGCATTGAACTGCTTTTAATTCAACCTTTTTAACAAATTAGGATGGAAAAGTAAAGTCAGGCCGGTTACAGCTGGTTTGCTAGTAGTAAACACTAGCTAGTTAGCTAAACGCCGGTGACGTTGATGTTATAAAGTTAACATATGGTACTTTAAAAAACACCACTACTGAGAATCAACTTGTCATTTTTAATACGCATTATTGCTTTCCGGGATTATTGGGAAAAAATGCTTTGCTCAAATGTTAAATGAAGTGATTTCTCGGGTTTTACACGTGTTGTAACTTCTGCACGTGATATCGGGTAAATGTTAGCCGCTGCGTGTCTACCGAAGGTCGACGGGGACTTTATCCTTAAAAATGGGTTAGTTGGGTTTCAACGTGTTTGTTGTCGCTTATCACCAACATGTATGGTTAAATCGAGTGGTATAAACAGGTTTTCGGCGTATATGCAAGTTCCAAAACTCTTAGCAGTATGTCGACGCCACGTGCTCCTCTCAAACGTCTAAGTCGTTTTCCTTTGTTTATTAAAAAGGCAAAGCTGCGGATTTGTAATCAGGGTTAGTCTACAAGGTGGATTTTTTACATGCAACATTTTAACACGTAGCAAATACAGAAGAGTCATGTCTTTTGATGGGATGACGGGTTGCTTAACGTTGTGAAATGCGAGCTTTCCAGGCGGATCAACTCGCTCAGCACTGATCCATGCGAAGACAGAGGGGCGGGGCTAGGGTGAAGCAAACCAATAGGAGCTCTGGGTTTGGCGTTTCAATGTGTAAAGCTGGATTTACGGTTACTTCATTCAATGGATTGGATGTGATTAAATTTAGCCAATGCTTTTGTGTGATTGAACAATAGGCTGTCAAAATGCAAGGTTGTTCAACTTCTTCAACTGTGTTTCACCCTAAATTAAATATATCCGTGATCTAATCTATTGATATTTACTTTTATATGTGGGTGCACTGCTATTCCGTACTCTTTATGTTTGCTTGAGGTTTTTAAAGTTGGTGCAAATATTGAGATGTTAAACGTTCATGTACATGTCTTAATATATCTCACTGGCAATCTGTTACCCAGTATCAACGTGTGTAATGATCAGAGTTGTCAATACTGTACTTAAGTACTTTTTGATACAAGTATCTGTACTTTCTATTCCTTACATTTTAAAAACAAATGTTACTCGTTTCTCTTGGCTTTGGTTTAATGTTTATAAATATTTATTTCACGTCATGTCCGCCATCCAATGCAGATCATTGACGCATCCCAATCTAGTGAAAACTACTGTAATTGGATGAGTCGTATAATTCAAACACTCATTGGTTAGCTAAAAGAAATCATCAGAAGAAAGCAGGTGTTTTTCAAACTGCAAACGCGAATTGTCTATTCTATGCTACAATTCCGTATTCAGAAAAAGATGTTGAAATATTTGAAAGGGTGGACACAGGTGAGAGCGTATCGGAAGTACAGAACCAACAAGACCTCCCTCCCTCATCCTTAGCTGAAAATTGAGCTTTCAATTCATACAGTGGCATCCGGCTGTTTTTTTTTTTATTTTTTTTTTTAATAGGTTACTTTATACTTTAAGTACAGATTTATACCAATGTTTTTTTAGTATGTACTGTAGGAATGGAAACAAATGTCAAAAATGTTGTGGTGCTAAATTTATCACTACATACAGTTAGAGCAACAAACAGAGAATGTGGTTTGTGTTGAGGCGACAGTCCTAAACTCAAACACACCTCGTTTGGTTCCTGCCCTCTTTCACTTTGTTCTTGTCAAGCTTCTAATGAATAAACTTCATAAAAATCTTAAATTATTATTTTTTTTATTGTTTTTTGCATGGTTTTTGTAGCTTAAAGTTTATATTGAGATGGTAGTAAACTGTTCCACATTCCCCAGCTTTTGCTGCATACTTTATTTAGCTATTTGTTGTGTGTGCAGTCTGATGTTCATCATCTCTATCCTTACCATGCAGGTGACCACCAAGGGAACTAATCTTAACCCTAATGCCAAAGTGTGGCAGGAGATCCCAGCGCAACAGAACGACATCCCAGAAGTATCAGATGGTTCCTCCTGGCTGCACACAAACTCTTCCTCTGGTGAGATGACTGATGGTATGCGTCTTGTTGGGAGTTGTTCTTTTTGTTTTCATGATGCTGTTATAAAGCATCTAATGTCTTATGTCTGTATGATATTGAAAAGTGTCTTATGAGGGTTGAGTACAATATTTGCTGCTAACTCAGTAAATAAAAAATATGAAGAAACAAGTAGACTTTTGGGCCTTAAGTGTCTGTGCAGAGGCAAAATCGGCCCTCGTTCAGCTGATTATTAACATATCGAAGCAGAGCATTAATATAAAAGACTTTCTGCCTTAGGATTCTCAGAGCTGTTCTCTCCGGAGAGTAAAGGATACTCTATGGACTACCTGAATAGCCCTGAGGAATACTTCACACACAATGATGTGGAGCTTCCAGATTTGGGGTATTTGGTCTACGATCAACAGGACAATCCCTCTACACACGCTGAACTGTCTGAGGGAGAAGCAGTGACTGAGGAGAGCGTAAGAGAGTCATTAAAAAAGCGACTGGAGTTCTGCTTTTCTAGGTAAATCATCTTTGTTGCCTCACTCAAGGCTTTGTATGTATTTGGAAATGGCTTAAAAAAACAGGGAAACTAACCAAAATTACTGTGTTGCAACTGAAAGTGTTGAAACCTTTTTTTTTTTTTTTTTTTTTTTAACGCATACTTATCAATTCAAACATGATTATTTCAGGAAATAATTCTCCATGTCTGCATTGCAAGGTCGTGGTTTTAAGTCAGACAATTTTAAACACGATTTACAGGAAGTTTTGTGATTTCTAACTGGAAATGGTGTGGAAGAATTTATTATTCAAATGGAGTTTGAGTTGAAGTGGAAAACAATGCTGTATAAAATGTCCTATTTCTTTCAGAGAGAACCTTTCTAAGGATCTTTACCTGATATCCCAGATGGATGGTGATCAGTTTATTCCTATCTGGACAATTGCCTGCATGGAGGACATCAAAGCTCTCACCACTGATATGGATCTGATTCTGGAAGTATTGAGAGGTATTGACAATACTTTGCTTGTCGTAATTGGCATAAAATAATGCTTGTGGAGATGCTGTTGACATATTCATGTAAACGTTTGTTGGAGAAAGCGTAAACTGTGTTGAAAGCCTCGCCAAAGCCTGAAAAACTGTTCTATGTCTTAACTGTTATATTTGTGACAGTTGAGGAAGGAAGTGGAATTCTGTCTCTAAACTTTTACCGTTCACAACCTCTGCAATGCACTTGGAATAGTAAAAGTATGGTTTATGGATTTGACAAATCAGTTTCATTCCCCATTCTATTTCATTGGGACATTTTCCCCACCACTTTTGGGTAACTAAAGCATTTTGTCAACTTATCAAGTTTGTGCTTCAAAAGCAGTGAAAGTCCATCTTTTCAAAGACACTGCATGCATGCAGAGTGCTAAAGCATCTCCTTGGAACTATATTAACACACCCAAAGCCATTTTACAAGTGGTCAATTAAATCACAATGACACATTTTTATTTCATGTGTACTGTAGCTTTAATTTAAAATTATGTTGGAGGAAACATCAATTTAAACATCATCAGACCTTCCCCAGACTGCATTAACTTTATTCTATGCTGAACTGCAGTGGTAGACAGTCGAGATTGAAGCTGCAACGGACCGATGTTTTAATGATGTACTTTATGTCCCCAAAGAACTCTTAATATCGTTAACATTACAACAACTGATTGCTGTGAGTTTTTTTTTTTGCATCACATCTGTTAGTCCCTCCTTTGAAATCAGGGTCTACCAGCTCCTTTCCAGACTAATGTACGCGGCGTGAATTAGTCTGGCGGGCCGAGCTTGTTAAAGGAGCTTGGTGTTAGCATTTGGTGTGGGACTACACAGTAAACTGTCTATCAAGCCTTTTAAGTGAGAACCGTGAAGTGGTGCAGTAAACAAGTATGTATCACAACTAAGTACACAAAACCAGGATTGTCAGAATATATGGTATAATTACAGTAATTTCAGGCAGGCTGTCTATTTCACAATAACAGTCATTAAATAAGTGGTAGAACTGCTAAATTTTCTGTAGTTGAAGAAACTTGTTTCATAATTTAGTCCTAAAATCTTTTGTGATCTACACCTCAGGCTACACCTTATGATCTACACCTCAGGCTCACAATTTTTACGGTAGACATTGATATAAATAAACCTTTATTTTAACTCTACCTTTTGAGGATAAAAAGACATAAAATGAATCAACGAAATGTTTTCTTTAACAGTTAAAATCCTCAGCAACATGGGGAAATCTAATTGCATAGTGGTTTTAACAGCTTTTATTTTAACCCAGCGTACCCTTATTGACATAAAGCTTATGTAGTGGTGTCTTTTTCTTTCTTCTTCTTTTTTCTTTGTACAGCTTCTCCCTTAGTGCAAGTTGATGATGCTGGTGAGAAAGTTCGACCTAACCACAGCCGCTGTATCATTATTTTAAGGGAAGTGCCAGAGACTACACCAGTTGAGGTAAAAATTGCTGCATACTAAGCCGTTTTCTGGATTGAGTAAATAAACTGTAAAGCCTGCTAAGTGCTCATGGGTGCTTTTTCCCCCCACTGCTTGCAACTTAATTTAGAAAGCTTGTTGTAAGTCAGATATCGGAGATGGCAGATCTAAGCCTGCTTAGTGTTTCTTTTGTGCCTTAAATTCATCTCAATAAATATGCTATTTTATAGTTGAGTTTGTAATATTCTTTGATATTGAATCCATATTGCATTTATTTTTTTCAATAGGAGGTAGAGGCTCTTTTCAAGAATGAAAACTGTCCAAAACTGCTGGGTGTTGAGTTTGCTCACAACAGCAACTGGTACATAACTTTTCAGTCGGATATGGATGCACTGCAGGTACGCTATAACTAATTTCTTTAGTTTGATTATTATACTTATAGATTTTACTTAACCCTTTATAGGGCACTAAGTGATATATTTTGAAAATCAACATTTTCATACCATTTTTTTTTGTTTATAAACCTAAATATAATTGTTAACTATGCTCAATAATGTTTGTAAGTGATAAGAAATGGTAACTTGCCCTATAGTGCCACAATTGTTTTATCTTTTTAAAATCTAGTCCTTCATTCTTAGTCATTTTTTAAAGCACTGGTAGCTTTGGTAGTTCTCAATAGAAAATAGGTAAATATGATGACTTTGAAAAAAATACATTTTGAGCATAATCATCAGTTCGGTTTAGGGGACAGTTTTTTTTAATGAACTAAAATAAAATAGCTGTTGAGTGAAAATTTGTTCCTTTTCTTTTTTGATTCTCATTCAGGCATACAGGTACCTACGAGAGGAAGTTAAAGTCTTCAAAGGGAAACCCATTATGGTAAAAAAAAAAAAAAATTTGATGTTAAATTGAAATATGCAAGATCAACTTTCATTTTCAGGTGTCATGGAAAAGCCAGTTAATTAATCATGTAAAGGCTTGTGGGATTTACCCTTAGTTTTACCTTGGGTGGATAAATGCCTTATAAAGAGAGGTGGTCTGTCTAAAATGAACAATGCCCAGTCATGTTTCATTTAACAACATCACCTTATTCTTGTGCACATTGTGATTACTGTAAATCCCTTTTCCCATTTTTTGTCCCACCTATCCACAACAAAGCCAACTGCGTATGTAGAATAAATTATGTAAAAAAAGGTCAGTTCTACAGTTCTCAAAGCTCTTTCAATACTTTGGGCTGTTTCATATTTTTTCCACAATTGAACCACAAATTTTGGTGTATTTTGTTAGGATAAGATGAGTTAAGCCAAAATAAGCAGTGACTTGATCATTTAGATGGCCCATGTAGTCTGTTTAAATCTTAGGATATCCAGCTGTTCTATAAAGGCCTTGAAGGTTTGTGAAGAAATTACATAAATCAGAACCAGGTTTTTTTGCCTGAATTCCACACACTGTTTTGATACGAGTACACAGTGTACATTACAGCAGTGAGTATACATCAGATTCTTTTTAAATATGTCATTCTATAAGACAGCACTGAAGGTCAGACCCTGTGGTACAATATAGAATCCTCTGTGTGCGGATCAATAACGGTGTGAACTTTTCTCAGAGGCTTGATTTCTAAATAGTTGACAGTAAAATGACCACATCCCTAAGTAAAAATGTCCGAATAAGCATGCAGGGAACTAAACAATTCCTTATAATACTGTGACTTACAATTTGACAATGCATGACTTTGATTGGTTGATCTGTCACATTTCCAAAGAATGTATCCAAACTTAAGTTTTAATGTCGTGCAAGTCAAAGGTGAATAATCCTTTAGCAAGGCCTCTGTTCACCTGTCCCCAGTGATGATCAGTATCGCGCTTGGAAGGACCCATATGCACTGTCTATCCAGGAGGACCTTCACTTACTCTACATAAATCTTGATCTCTGCTTTACCTCCTCCCTTACTTGCCCTACTCTTTCCCTTCAACCTTTCCTCTCCTTACCCTTCTTTTTCTCCTCTCCCCTTGTTATAGCAGTGTTTTATGGCCTCATGACCGTGAGATTATGAGATCTGAGGGGATAAAACGACAATAAAGCAACAACACAAAGTTTCTAGAGCTGTTCTTGTACATTAAAAAAAAAAACCAACAGCTTTTTTTCTCTTTAGGCTCGCATTAAGGCCATAAATACATTCTTTGGGAAGAATGGAGGGGTGTACCAGCAGCCAGGCCAACCACAGGCCCAGTATGTGCCTCCAGTGTATATGCCACCGGTGTACAGCCCTCAGCAGGAGTATCCTGTTTACCCTTTGGTGTCTCCTACCTGGAACCCCTCGATTGTGCCACACTTTGAAACGCCACTGGTGAGTACTGTACAAGGTTTTTTTTTTTTTTTTTTTTTTTTGTACCTTTTCAGATAAAGTTTTTGTCCTCTTCAATACAGAATCCTGATAAAAAAAAAATATATATAAAAAATCTCAAACCTAGTTAGGTAGATGCCTCCTTTTTAACATTACTGAAGTTCTGAACAGCAAACTACAGACATGTTTTTTGTATGGATGGATTTTTTTAAATTTTATTTCTTATTTTAAACAATCTTTGTAGGCCCCTTTCCCCAATGCTGGATTCGTGAATGGATACAACAGTCCTGGGAACTACAAACTAACTTCTGGCTCGGTCAATGGCCATCGTCCTAATGGCAGGAACAGGTACATGCAAACTATGATACAGATCTCTTTCATGTCTGGTTTTGAATGATTTTGTAATTAAATGGGTAATACCAGCTGGTTCTTTTCCCTTTTAAGCTTCAGTACTTAAAGTGTGAGCTTAATGTTTACATGCTGAAGCAATAAATAGGTTTAGATTCATCCTTAAGTAGTTGGGTGACGTCTTTCATGAAGATAATTGCGCTGATGCACGTTGCATCATTTTATCAAATTGAGTTATAAAGTTAAAACACTTTCAGATAATTTGAACATCTTCTACTCTGTTTTAGTGCTCGTCTCAAATAAACTACTTTGCTACTTTGTTGGCAGTCCTAGGTTATGACCCTTTAGAATTGCCAATGTACCTATCTTGCTGTAAAGATGGGTTTAACATGCCTGTATATTTCATTTTTATTTATACATTGGCTTATTCTTTGTTCTTAAACATTTTGAACTGCTTACATTTAACTGTAGCTTTTAATTTTCACTATTAATGCATGTTGTTTTCTTGTTAGGAACCATGTCAAAGGACATCATAGACCTGGAGATCCTATTTCATCTAACTTGGCTTTAGGGACAATGATGAATGGCATCTCTGGTCCAACGGCACAGTCTGCTTTATCTGCCTTCAACCTTAGAGAGGCGTCCTCATTGTTCTCGACATCCAGTGGAGATCAGGGCCGTGCAGGAAGAGACAGGTCAGCTAAAGTCTTTATTAGTAGAACGAAATTTAAGATGTTAGCATTTCCTACGAAATGCAGCAATATATAATGCAGTGAGTGTTTGAGTTATGTTTTTATTTTATTTTTTTCATCTGTCATTTTTCCCGCTCTTAAAAAGTTATTTTGTATTTAACTGGGGAATAAAAATCAATTGGAGTTTGACACTCATTGTTTCTACTTGATATGTAATGCCTAAGCTTTATATGTTTGGTTTTCCATTTAATTTTTTCCCCCCCCAACTCTTTTGATCTTTTTTTACATAGAAGGAATGGCCACAAAGGCATGAGAAGGAAAAAAGAAGACGAGTTTTCCACGGTAGGCATTCCGTCCCCTTTTAAAATCTATTTTCCAAAATATGTTTTTGCTTCTCTTTGTTTTTAACTTTCTTTAAATGAAACAGAAACCTGTCCCGTTGATGGAAGCCAAGGCAGCCCCTCCTAATTTTGACCTGGCAGGCTCTAGCTTCCCTCCTTTGCCAGGGTCTGTGGTCCCTGTTCAGGAAGAAACTGTGACAGAGGTACGCCTCTCTGATGTCGTCCGTGGCCTAAAGCTTCAAGCCAAGGTAACAATCCCTCTTCATAGCAGTTATGCTGAAATGGATTGATTTCGCTGCATGATTGTAATTTTTATTTGGTTTTTCTTTCCTAAATTGCATTTCAGACAGGAAATCGTGAAAATATATTAGCTGTTAACACAAAAGGCTCTAAAAGTCCTGCTAACAAACAGGATTCTACCTCCCCGTGTACTACACCAGCTGTTGCTGAGATGCAAATGGCAACACCGCCAGATTCAGGGTAAATAATCAGCAATCAAATCACTTTTTATTATAAAATGTATTAATAATAAAGACTCATTTTCCTTATTTTAAATTTTAGTGCATGTCTAACAGTAGACAAAGGAGATGAAGGTGAACCAGTTGCTGTGCAGGGAGACCTCGCTCCATCCACTGAGGCTGAGTGTAAAACCACTCCAGAAACACCCCCCAGTGTGAGCGGTAAAACTGTTTCTCAAAAACAGTCATCAGAGCAAGAATGGGTAAGCTAGATCTCTAAATGTGACACTCGCATTTTCACACTTGTTCACTCTTCATGCAGTTCTGTTAGTTTAAGGGCTTCCATGATCTACCATTATACCAGACATCTACAGTGCAGTGTGCATCATTACGTTTCAGATTTATTGTGCCTAATCAGTTTTTTTTTTTTTTTTTTTTAAGCAGGAGTCAAGAAAGCTTAGCTATGCTGAGGTGTGCCAGAGACCAGCCAAAGACCCACCGCAAGCAGAGACGCCATCCCCCTTGCCTCCTGTCACTTCCCCCAACCACCCTCTGAAAGAACTCAAGGTCAATACTGTTAAGGAGCCTCAGCTGAACACCAAAAAAGGTGCTGAGAAAGTTGGAGATAAACCTTCTCGACAGCTGTCCCGTACATTCCGTGGCGCTTCCGGTCATACCAGAGCAAAAGGTTCCGGGATGAAGATCCGGGAACATCAGAGGGGCTCGAATGCTAGCAAGCAGTTCCCCCCACAGCGAGGACCAAAATCCAGTGGCAAAGAGCAAAAAGTACCCCCACCCATACAAAAATAAATGCATTTCAGAACTTTACAGACCTTATTTAAATGTGTAAATATGTAAATACAGATGGATCTATTTCTTTTGACAGATTTTGTCAAATATGTTTAAATATTTACTGTGACTTAAAAGTCAATGTTCCTTAAAGGAAAATTTTTATTTTAGCAGTGCTTAAATGTTAAGTGTGTAATTTTGAATTTAATTTAATATGGCAGTACTTCTAAACAGATATCCTGACAATGTATTATGGGTATTATTATTTTTTTTTTTTTAATCATCTGATGGGGGAAGTTGTGCTTATCATTGCAGGAGGTCTCTTTAGCATCCTGGTGTATTAAATTTAGGGTGACTGCTCAGGTTTTTATTTGGTAAAGATGTATTTATTGACAATGAAATGCATTAAACAGGGGGGATAAAACAACAGAGGATTGGTATTTGAGGATCTCAAAACCGTAATTGTTTAGTTTTATTTTTTTGCATCAGATTGTAAATTACTTGGATTGCAATTATTGAATGTATTCCTCCATGGTGATGGATGCATCTGTGGGGGAATTCCAATCGAGATTTGGAAATAAATTAGTTTTTCCTTTTTGGATTTTGCTTTTTAAATGTGTTTTAACATAGTTTGGAGATATTTGGTAATGCTTGCTTTATTTTCTGTCACTTTTTTTTTTCCATCAATTTTTTTTGGACCCTAGAATGTATGGTCATGTCATGGTACAATTGTGCTGGTTTAATAGAAAACTAAGTTTTCTGCATTTATTTTATTTTTTTTCTTTGATGTAAATGTTAGTTCAGTATCTCTTATAGCTGGAATACGGTCACTAGTTTAGCTGCTTCAGTAATTGTGGAGCATTGCTATATTCACTCAAAACATGTTTTTTTTTTCCTAAAAGTGCACAAGGTGTCAAAATGATTGAACTTAAGCACTTGTTTAAAGCAGCATGTGATCAAATTTAAGATATTGCCAGATGATTATTTTGAATGTAAATATTGTTTGTGTTGTGTCAATACATTACTATTGTAACATTTCAATTTTAGATAAAAATTGTCAGTGGTAAGCTACTCTAGCCTAAAATGTAGCATGAAACTAAATTTAAATCCTAAATTTCCTATAAGTCCTTTATTCTTCCTTTGGTCTTGGAACTGGAGAATATTTTATAAAACCAGATATGGTTGTATTAAATCATATTTGAATGTTTATCTGGTGACAGGTTTGCCTCTGTAAATAGGAAAGTAACTAAACTAAATTTACAAGGTTTAATGAATTCTTTTCTACTAAAGGACTAAAAGGATCTTTTTGTTTTTGCCAAAAAAAAGGGACAAGAGGCTAATCAGTGCATATATATAAAAAAAAAAAATCATGTTTAGTCAGATTCTCAAGCTACGATTGGGATTTATTTTTTTCATATAGTTATACAAAAATATAAATAACATTTTTAGATGGACCTGAAAGAAAAGTTGGATTTGCAATTCAGATGTTTTCTCAAGTCAAATTTTAAAGCCTTTTTTTTCTCGTTTTAAACAAATTGCCATGTTTGAACTCACCCAAATAGTTTGCATTTTAATAAAAGGAAATTTTTGTAAATGCCATCTATGGGGCTTCAGCTTCTAGCTTTTTATTGTTGCATTCTTCCTCTTTTGTAGAATTTTAGAATATATATTAGTTATTTGTCTTAAGGGCTGTCATTGCTATGGAGTCTAACATGATACTTTGCTTCTTTTTTTTTTTTTACTTGATTTGAATTTGTGTGCACTGATCTTATTTAAAACCAGCGAATGGGTGGGATTATGTTTCAGTGTTGAACACATACCCGTGGAGGTGGTCAATGAAATCCACTTATAAGATGCTTAAAATTCAGAAAAATATTGAGAGTAAGATTTTCATTTTGCTTTATGTGATTGTTTAAAATGTGGAAAACAAGATGATACAAATTCCTTTTTTTTATGATTTTGGTTGTGGATTTCAGCATGTTTTTGCAAACCTTGTGCCTTTTCAGCACTAGGCACCCTGATTACGTCCTATAAAGTCCTGCCTGGTTTATTGTCCAATTATGGGAAATGTGTATTTTCATTAGGAGTGCTTATATTATTTCAAGCTCAAGTATTACTTTATTGGAGATTTTATTTTAGGTAAAAGGTATAGATCTTGGTTCATTTTACTTATCTTTTAACCCTACCAATTTCATTAAATATTTAAAGTTCCTTTTAACAAAACAAAAACTTTTTTTTTTCTACTGAAATACACACTGGTTTATCAAGCTAATATTGTGTAATAATAAAGCATTTTAAGTAAGACTAAATCTGCGTATGTGTATATCATGTTAAAATACACAAGTCTTGCTTTTTACAAAGCTCTAGCAACATACCATAATATTCTGCCATAACAAACTCCCGGAAATAACTGATAATTATGTAACATTTAAAGGACCATTTTCCCACCGGAGACAAAAACTTATTGGTGCATTCGTTATATACCAATAGACTCCTTGTTGCATAAGATGCTATGTTGTCATGAAATCTGAAGTTTTAACTTCTAAAATGTAACTTAACTTAGATTAATGGATGGTAAATGTAAGTCACATTCGCTTCGCGAGAAAGCAACCCTGTTACGTAACGTTAAACTCTCGCGAGATTTGGCTAATACAAGTGTCAGAGTGTCAACAACGGACAGGCAGCAGCAGCATCGCAGCCAGCGGCGCTGTCCGGGTGCAGGGAGGGGGAGTAAAAAGGCACTTTAAACGTCCGGTAAGTGTGGACGAATTGCACATCCTGTATTGTTTTTGAATAAACTGGAGCATAAGGTTGGTGTTTAAGAACCACGTTATATTCTTGCTCCTTCGGAGGTGTTAATAACCACAGCTCTCGTTAGCATTAGCTTGCTAACGTGTAGTGTACATTTCCCCTAGTGGGCTTATAGAGCTCCGCTTAGCAGTTAGCACGAAGACAGTTAGCTTATGTGTGGGTGCCAAATAATATTTCTAAATATTTCGGCCTCTAATTATTTCCATACCATGCCAGATTCCTAATATTACTACGTCTATTTTGAATGAAGTACATAAACGTGGTAAGAATATGATACGTTTCAGAACATATTTCAGAAAGTCATGGCAAGCAAAGATTATACACTGTATCGCACAATCAGTTTGCTGTCTGAATATGAAGACCTTTATTTAGAAAATATGTAAGAACAGCCACTGCTCACCGACTCGATGACACTGCAGTGTGGGTTGTACGTTAGCTTGTATTGGTTGTGCTGCCTCATCCTCGAAGCTTTTTCCCTGATTATCATCCACGGAGTCCAAAGCCAAACCCTTCATTTAGGCCGATTGTGTTTAGCCTCTGTGTCCCTCCCTTTAGACTGACCACTTCAAGCTATTGAACTTACCGATGAGATCTGGATTTCCGGTGCAATCGCAGGTTTTAGGTCTCAACAGGTGCAAGGTTAATTTTCTGTATTTAATCAGATTTGACGTGTTGATCTAGACAGAAGCACTGTTAAAATGTGTTACTAAGTTGATAAGTGATCACATAAAATCACACACGCCTCGACCTGTTAAAGTATGGGGAAAAAAGAGACCCTGAATGTGTGGTGTGGCATTTGCCACTAAAAGTTTCTCTGAAGTTCCTCTAAGGATCAGATTTTAATGTGCAGGGACTGTCAACTAGTTCAGATTTGGTGACTTGAAGGCCAATTAATCACCTCAAACCTGTCAAAAAACGTATTTGTTGCAAGTTGCTTCAAACTACTCCATTTCTTTAAATGAAAGAGTGAATGTGGTTTGCAACAATAGCCTGGTGGATAGAATGAGTCAAGATGACAGCTACATGGAAAAAGCAGCAGAGTCGTCACAAATATCAAACCTTAACTGTCTTTGGTGCCATTTGTTATCTGAGTGCGGTGCATAAAAACATCTGGATGACACAACATAATCTACCATTCCCTCTACCTCTGTATTTTGTGTGCTCTATAATGCAGTTCAGAGATGTTCACAAGAGCAATGTTGGCTCTTTCACTTGTAGACACAAGCACAGTGGGCACTCCGACTGGTCTGTAGCTTTGCATCAAATTGGGATGCACTGTGGATTACATCCCTAATAGGTGCAAATCTGCAGCCTCTCCACAGTGGCATTGATACCACTTCAGCCCAATTTTGATAAATGTACTGCTTTGCTTGGTGTTTCAGTTTAGATTAAACACAAGTTGGATTTGTTTTATCAGATAAAGTAATTTGCAGTTTGAGCTACAGCAGCTCTTGTGTTTCTGACCACTCAACCCTGGTCCCTATTTACATCAACGACCCTGCTTCCGGTTCAGCTGAGTTACTGACTTGCAGAACAGGAACATTCCATAGCATCCAATTTGAAAATACTTGGTTATTGAAATGTAAAATTGTCAAAATTTGGATCTTTTCAGACTTTCTTAAAACCCAGATGCATGTTGTTTTCCTTAGCTTCTAACATTTTGAGGTTAATTTGTTGTCCAGTGTATCCCAACCACTAGCGGTGTTGTTATTAAGTCATTGGGTAATTTGCTTCACCTATTGTTTTCCGTTGTTATGCTTGGTAGGGCTGTAACTAACGATTACTTTTCAAATTGATCAAGCTATCGGTTCTTTCATTTTTATTAATAATCTGATAGACAAAGATTCTTCAACAAATTTTTTTGTGTGAAATTAAACCAGGTGAAACTAAAACTTTTCCACTTGAGGAGTTCTGAGTAGAGCATATTGACAGACAAAAACGTTTTATTTTTGGTTTTTTATCTTAAATACAAAAGATTTATATATTTTTCTACAATTTTGATATAATTGCAGCTCTAAGTGGGACCCTCTGTCAGCTAAAGGCATGTTTTAGAGTCTCCAACTCCATTTAACAATTAATCAATTACTAAATTATTTGACGATTATTTCAGTAATCGATTAATTGTTTCAACCTTAATGCTTGGTCATACTATTGACACACTTTATTGCAGATTCACCATTTTCAACATTGTCATTTAATGACGACTGAGATTTCCAAATTTATATTGGGTTTGTATATCGACATACATCAGTCGATGATTCAACAGGATGGTAGGGATTTCCAGTTTACATTAGCATAGTTCAGAATATAAGGAGAGAGAAAGCCAAAGTTATGGAAGGAGTAGGGGTCGGCATTTATTGTATTGTTTGTAATTATTGTGATAAATTTCCCATTTTGATTGATTGTCTATATAAAAATAATTAAAGATGTTTAAAAGCTCCCCACAAAATAGATGCATTTTTATTATTTTAGGTTCTTTCTTTTCTCCATTGGGTCATTGACATATTTAAAGATTAAGATTAAATGGGTTTACAATGGGATGTTTAGTGATATAAATCATACTTCTTTATGTAACTGGTGAACTGAAGAAGCCCATTTTAAATCAGTATATTTTTTAAGACCTATTTTTTGTTAGTGCCGGGCAATGGTTATTTTGGCATTCCATACATAATGTAGAGGTTTTTTTAACCTTACTTTTATCGTACAATTTTAAGTCTATACCCCCTAGCCCTTTGTAGTGAGTTTGTGTACTGTTACACTGTCCTTTTTGTCTTTTTATAATTTATTAAAATAATCTGACAAGTTATGGAAATTATTAAGTGAAAGTGAAAGTGAAAGTGAAAGCCCTTTGGGAAACTCCTCCAACTCCCATTGTCATTGTGACACAGCACACACAAGTGAACACTGCACACCATGAAATTGCATTTATGCCTCACCCGTGCAAGGGGGCAGCCCTCAATGGCGCCCCAAGGGAGCAGTGTGGCGGGACGGTAACATGCTCAGGGTACCTCAGTCATGGAGGAGGATGGGGGAGAGCGCTGGTTAATTACTCCCCCCACCAACCTGGCGGGTCAGGAGTCGAACCGGTAACCTTTGGGATCCAAGTCTGACACCCTAACCGCTCACCCTGACCTTACCCACGACTGCCCAGGGGCAGTCGTGGGTGAGCGGTGAGGAACATCAGTTTTGTTTCCTCAACATATAACCAAGTTTTTACAGTTGTTTTGTTCTGTGTCAAAGACATGTTAGAAACACTTAATCTTTTAATGTAGTCATAACAATAAAATGAAGTAGTCCTCTATGACATCTTCTATAATTAACGTTTTACCTTTTAAATTATACTTTTCCAATTATTTCAAAAAGAAAATGTCCCCTATTAACAGTTTTCACTGAAATTCCCTTTAGAGCCTAATGTTTTTGTGTCTTATACTTCCTTGCAGAACTCTGTTTGAGATGGGGGATGATCGACCCTTTGTCTGCACGGCCCCCGGGTGTGGGCAGGTAAAATTTCTCATCCATACTACCCCCCTGGTTAAATCCTTTTGACTGTAATTCTTTACAGAAAGAACTTAGGTTCCTTCCATTACATTTATATTAAATGCCATTACACTAGAATCGTTCTGGGTCAATCAATCCTTTACCAATTCTTACAACCATTTGGAACCCATGCGTTGTCATGTAATTTCATTTGTAATGTATAATCTGCAATTACTATCTAATACCCTGTGCAATAACCTGTTTCTTTATATTTGATATCCAGTGCAATAGCTATGTAGATAAATACCCATTTATATAAATACTCATGTAAATAACCCTGTGCAATAACCCTGTATAATAATTCTGCTTGAAAAAAAAAGACTTTAGCTGTCATCGGGGTTTCTGGGTGTTATTAAAAGTAATTAAATTATAATTTTTTTAATTTAAGGCCTTAATTGACATTAACATTCATTAAATGTGATTATCGTGGCATTTAAAATGCTTTATTTAAAAAAAAGGAGAAAAAAGTTTATACAAACAATTTCATGTTTGCACGGAACTGCTTATGGTTTATTGTAAAGCCGTACAGATGCTCGAGCCTGAGAGGAAGCTAGAGAACGGGAAAATGCAAATATCAACAAAAACGGCTGGAAACCAAGTTCCGGGATATGGCTGCAGCCTGTCAACAGTAAAGATGATTGATAGACCATTCCAAATGTATTAATACTCCTTAAACTTTTTCCTTTTCTATCAAAGTGCAACAGAAAATCCTGTTCATTTTAAGGAGAATTTACATAATTATAAAAGACCAAATGTTGCATAGTTGTGACTGTAACACATCATGATAGCAGAGCCACAAATTTTTTTTTTTTTCTTTTTCTGAAAGAGAGCCATTGTTGTCAACTGTTTGGCAATGGCTATATGTTGAAGCGTGGGATTAAATGTTGTGCCACTCTCTTCGGCCAACAAAAAAAACGTAGTATCAACGCTCATTTCAGAAGATTTTTCTGATTTTGTTTCAAAAATCTATAAAAGGAAAAGTAACACTGCATTTCACCCTAAATGCCTTGTAATTGAACAAAGGAGATTTCTGGTAGAAAACCTTGTAGATGCTAAACATTTAGCCAAAGCTTTAATTTGAAATGTATTTATTTAGTAGAGTGTTGCATATCCACAACGGTACGCCTATAACATGCCAGAATTAGCCTTTGATTAGCTTTAATCCAGTTTAAACAGCTATAAAAGAATGGTTTAGACCAGAGCAAGGCCATTTGTTAGAATCACCCAGCCAGAGATAAATTTAGTTCAGAGATAATTAAATTTAAAAAACCAGGTCTAGACATGAAAACTAATATTCACAGATGCACTCCTCCCAACCTTGAACCTTTTTTTTTTCACTAGATGAGCAAAGCTAGTACAGGCATATCCTAAAAGACTTTTGGCTACATTTTAAAATTACAGCAAAAATTTAAAAAATACAGCAAAAGATAGTTCTACAAAGTAAATGCAAAACACAACTTATTAGATATATGGTTATAAAGGTTTGAAAACTATGTATCCTTTCCATCCCGTTCACAAATATGCACCACCATATTATCACTGCGTTATGATTGGAAAAAACAAATAAAATTGCAACTTTAGAATAAAATAAGTTGCCTCTATTTTATTGTCATTTGATTTCATATGAAAGAGATCTTTCTTGAAGTACCTGCTTTTCAAAATCATAATCATTGCTATACTTTCTATATTTAAAAAGTGTGCGAGGGTGCATATTTTATAATTTAAGGCTAATAGAAATAAAATAGGATGGAATTTTGGTGAAACTTTTGAAAGTAATAGGTAACATATCACCTGTTCACATTATTTTTCTATTAACCATCTACTTATTAAGCAGAGGCTCTTAATTATCTTTAAATTGTAGAAGATTAAATATTGTTCTTTCCTTCTATCTATACATCTGTTTTCCTGCTGTTGACTTATTTTTTCTTCTTGCAGAGATTCACAAATGAAGATCACCTCTCAGTCCACAAACACAAACATGAAATGACTTTAAAATTTGGTCCTGCCAGGACAGACTCTGTTATTATTGCAGGTCAGTGCTACAGCTTGTTAATATATTTTTATGCAATATGTGGCTTAAGGAATATGCTTTCTCCTAACAAAGATGTAACTAATGTCTTTTCCTTTTTTTTATTTTTGGTCTCAGACCAGACCCCAACCCCCACACGTTTCCTGAAGAACTGTGAGGAGGTCGGTCTATTCAACGAGCTGGCTGGTTCCTTTGATCAGGAGTTTGCTAAAACACAGGAAGACGAGCAGAGAACAAAACACCCTGTAAGTACACAGGTTTATTCAGTTTCAGCTTATTCAGTTGAGTCGCCTTTTCATTATTTCACCTGAATTATCAGCATTCACATGTTTCCTTTTGCGTTTCTGCTCTTTAAGGCTGCACCTTCACAAACACCCTCTGAAGTAAAAGATGAGGACGAGTCGTCCTTACAAGTTGATTCCTCCCCCCCCGACAGTCCAGATTCCTCCTCCAGTATGTCTGAGAACAGCAGGGACTCACGGGTGAGAAGATACATGGGTTGCACTGCTCAATTAGTGCCTTATATATTCACTGCTAATGCATCCTGATAAAGTGCATAATCTATTGTTTACAGGAGTTTCTCAATAAGCCCGTGGTAAGCTCTGCTCCAACTCCAACGATTGTTCGACCGGGGTCTCTTCCCCTTCACCTGACCAATGACCAGCTCCACCCAACTCTGCCTTCTCCAACATCCGTGATCACACAGGCTCCACCTTCCAACAGGCAGCTTGGGTAAATTACCTGCTCTTTTACCCCTTTCTATTGTGCTGAGGATATATTTGTAGATAAACACTAAAAGTTTGTTCAAGCTCTCATACAATCTGCACAAAAAAAATCTATCAAATGGGCTAAAACCATGCTTATTTTTTTTTTACAGATCTCCCACAAGTGCATATCCACTGGTGAGGCACCTCTCTAATGGGCAAGCGGTCCCTCTTCTGCCCAGCCCTGTACAGATGACTTCAGTTATATCTGTAAGTGAATATATAGAAGAATAAACCAAAAATGCTTTTCTAATTTCCATTTTATTTACCCTTTTTTGTTTTGTTTGTAAAAATTTGTTGCTATGTGGAAGCTTGCAAGGACGGTAAACACAGTGCCTAACATCCCTGGGATCCCAGGACCTCCTATAGGCGGAGCCAGCAGTGGTTCCTCCTCCCCATCTGGATATGGTCTTCACTCTGAGACCAAAATGGTAAGATTAGTGTTTTTTACTGTTCTCATTTATCAAGTGCACCCCCAATGGTTAAGAATATGATTGAAAATTAATTCATTTTAGTGATTCCATTCAGAAAGTGAAACTTATGTTATATAAATCTACTGCACAAAGAGTTGTATATTTCTAGTAATTCTGATAGTTTTATAGGTAATACAAATCTAAAAATGTATATATATATTTGGAAAAATTATAACATGAAATTGGAACTATAAAAATACGCTTGATAGGTTTGAACCTACTGGCAATGTGTCAATGTACTGTGAAATATATGCTCTGTACTTTGTGTGGATTCTGTATGCATGAATGCCACATTCCTACAGGCCAAAAAACCTGTTTAAATCCGGGAACAATCAACTTTTGTTGGCAGTGGGAATGGCTTACTGATTCTTGTCTAGCCGTGTCAAACGACTCGGCGAGCAACCTGCTTTAAACTTGCCTCTGCTCTGATCGGCATGCTGTGGGAACACCAGAGCCGTGTTGATCCGCTAAATTACGTGACACCATTAAACGCAACGTAAGAACGTCAACACACCGCGCCAGATGCTTCTGATCTAACAAGCCAAAACAGCTCCGCTTACATTCGATAAACATGGCGCAGCACTGGTGAGAGGGATTTGGACAGATTAAAGAGCTAAACAATAAAGCACACTTACTACGCCGTGGCTTCCTTATATGTTGCTCTCCATTATTTACTTCCCTGATTTCCGTCACACTGGTGAGATCATAAACACTCACCCAGCGTGGATCTGGTGTTATCATCTTCACCTTGACTAAATTTTATAGGTCTTTTAGTTCAGGTAAGGGCAGCTTGTCAGTAGAGGGAAGCATGGAATGCTCAAAATCGGAGGTCTTCAACAGGGGGTCTGTGACCCCTAGGGGGTCCACGGAGGTACTACATGGGGGTTTTGAAAGTTTTGGTTGATTAGACTGTTTTTTTGTTTTTGTTTTTTTTTTTTGCGTTTTTTCCACTAATTGAAATGTCTTTAAATACACATTAACATGAATTCAACACGTTGTAGTAAACGATACATGGCAGATGATGTCTTTTAGTCACCAATGCACACATTCAGCGACAAACAGGAGCTCTTTCAAAGCTGGCCACCGTTTCATTCTCAACACCGGTCCCATCAATGAGGAATCAGGATCAGAAATACTTTAATAATCCCAGGGTGAAATTACTTAGTCACATTATTCCATCTGTAATAGAGTGACTATAGGACCAGTTTGATATAACACAATTTCATACAATATATATAATTAGGGGGTCCCCCGCTCCATCTCACCATCAGTTTGGGGGTCCTTGGCTTGAAGATCCCTGCTCTAAATTACCCAAGAGGAACACTTTGGGCTTTATAAACCACATTCTCATGTTTCCCCAAATTTTCACTGACTGTAAAAACTTCTGCACCTCAAGCAACCTGGATTTAGTTCCTCTTCAGACTCTTGCAGTTTGATTTCCAAATGAAATGAAACCGCCACTTTCTTTTGAAAAGAAGACTTTGCACCAGTGGGAAATGGTCCAGGGCGTTGGAGACAAAGTAAATATTAGTGTTTATTGTTATTGTGGCACAAGTGTTTGGAGTTTCCCTACACTTTAGCCAGTTTCATGGGGGTTGTGGTCGCACATGTGACTTAACTGATACTGGTGTACCTAATAGTACTGTGGCTAAGTGGCTGTCGCCGGCGTTTCAGTTGACCATCAGCATCACGGTCATTTTTCATTTAATTTTAGTCTCTTAAAGGAACCTTTAAACACTGTACCTTTATCCTTTTTTTGATGCTTTAAAACTAAAACATGGGTTGATGAGGTTGATGAGGCTTCTGACACCTTTGTGGCTTAGCGCTGATGCATTGGCAGACCCGGAGCAGACCCCAGTCCCTCACGCTTACTCTGACCCATCCATGAGTGAGTCACACATTTTAGAGGCAGGAGGAAATGGCGGCTCTGATAGTAAGTTGGGGAAATTAAACCATACTGCACCATAATTCCTCTCTGAGATTTCTTCTGACTTACAAAGAAAAAAAGTTTTAAAAGCAGATTACATTTTATCTCAAAGTCTGCAAAAATATTTAAATGTTTTGCCCAACATTACATTTCTAGAAATGTAAGAAGGTGTCAGGAATCCCCACTATTTACAGTAAACAATAAAATATTGCTTAAATGCCTGTTCTAATTGAGCAGAGTGGATCCTTAGACTATTCTGGAAGCCTTGTAAAGGGGGAGGCAGGGGGCTACCATTGTGTGGCTCGTGGGGAGCAGTGTGGGGTTAAGGGTCTTGTTCAGGAACCCAGAGTGCAGGCTGTGGGGATGGAACTGGGTACTTGCAACTTTCTCAGAGCACAAGCGCAGTGCTCTAACCCACTAGGCCAACAAAATTAGGGGGAAAGATGTTTCTTATTAGCAGATGATACTCCCCTATTGCTTTGGATAAATGTGCTCAGATGGGTCTAATATTGGAGAAACCAACCTGCTAGACAAATGCCATCCCATTCCCTTATAATCAAACATTTTCAAGAAAACATCAGTGCACACTCCTTCAATGTAGGAAAAAATGGGAAGTGTAGGGGACTGCACGGTTCTAAAGAAACACAGTTTAATAAAAACAAGCAATTTGTGGTCCAAATACAATTAAAAATATTTAGAAAAATAACAAAATGCCAATGGTAACCAATAAATAACATTTACCCTAGACATTTATGCATCGTTATGACTTTAGACTAGACTTTTTATGGTTGAATGTGGGAGGGTCAATCATAAGGTGGAGCCACCTAATCACACTTAACCTTAAGGTACAGGTGTGATTTATAAAGGAATTTAAACAGTTGTTCTTAGAGGGGTTAACACTAACATGGTGGATTGCCTGTGTGTTACTGTAGAGGCTGAAGGCAGCTCTTTCTCATCAAGGCCCAGTAGCACAAGACGGAGCAGGTGGTGGATCGGGATCCATCCCTGCTATCCCTCAGCGACAAGAACAGAGCCAGCAACCCACTCAGAACTCTGATACACCGTCGCCTGCACAACCTCAGGTACAATAATGTGGAACGCACACAGGTTCGACACAAACGTATAGACAAAGCAGCAGGGTAGAAAAAAAAATTAACAAAAAATGCCAACGGTGGCACTTATATTTTAATTAGTTATGGTACAATGTTGCTGAAAATCTTTGTATGATTAAGTTACTTTATGCTTTGTATGGATAACTTTGCACTGAACCGTAATGCTGCTGGACTATCGTAAATGAGTATGAGACCCAATCGGTTCATGTTTAAACCAATGCGAGAGAGACGTTTACAAAGTAAAACATCTGTTTTGGGGGGGGGGAATACAAAATGAAATCTGTCAATGGCAAGGGAAAACGGTTAGGTTTGGAGTCACATAGTGCATGTATAGCAGGAAGGTCAGACTCATGCTGACTCTCCTAGGGGCTTTAACAAACTTCACAGTTCCTGCTCTGAGAGTCCCCTCTCACTGACTCGTTAGTATCGATATAAACCGTCCCACAGACTTTATTGCTGCATTTTCCTTAGCTTTAAGTGTAGTTCCCAGTATATTTCTGATATAAGAGTTTGAGATGCAGCAGTCTGGTTCTGAAGTAGGGCTTTGCCTTTTTTTCTTTTTTTAAAATAACTTCTAATCTTTAGCAGTAATATGATGGGTGCATTTAGTAAAGCGTGTGCAGATGCATGTGATGCTTGTGCTGCTCCTGTGTTCAAAGGCTTTAGTATATTTTGTGTAATAAGTTGGTTAAAAGTAATTTCAGTATATTCTTAATCAGGAAATTACACCTCAAAACATTGCCTGTGAAGTCAGGTCATCAAGCTTATTATCCTACCTTAAAATATTATTTAGCTGTCAGAGTTGCACAGACCCCCAGATACTGGCGGTACGCTGTCACTGGGAATCCACCCCCAGCACGCCCAGCCTTAGGCCACAAGCCTCTCGGGGGGATTTCCACTACTGTTATGGTACAAACTGCTAACACCAGTTGTTCATGTTCAAATGTTCAAATTTTCCAGCTCCAACATCTGCTAATTGAAGCACATCACGTGCCTCAGACGCTAAAAAGCTCATGAGGCGCTGCTTCAGATGTGGCAAGGTGCGCAGTTCTCGCTGCCCCTGATGTGCTGGAGTACCATCTGATGCACCTTGATGTGCTTCAACCATAGACTTTGCATTTAAACCTGCTGCTAAAGTCACATTTAGTGTGAACGTAGCATCACTCTTGTTAAATGCAATGTGACCAGAATTGAGTGGCTTTGGGATTAGAAAATTGCCTTTTGTTTAACTGTGATTATATTGCTAATTAATTGCCCAGTGTGATTAAACATTTTGGTAAAGGAGTTATTTTTTAATTATTTCAGCTTTATAAATGACATATGGTTACATGCAGCTGGCTAAATGTGCTGTTGATATAAAGGACTCGAATATGATTCTCATTGCCCAATTTCAGTATCAGTGTTTCCCACTTCTGTGTCCTTAGGGCATCCTGCCTGCATGTTTTGGATGCTAAGGTATTTAAGCACACCTACACTCAATTGAGTCAGTAAAGTTCCTTAAGAGGACTTGTCGAAAAGCCATTGATGTTATTCATTCCTTTGAATCATTTGTTTGTGTTTGAGCCAGATCAACCAAAACCTGCAGGACACTTTGCCTAAAGGACCAGCATTGGAAAATTACAGCTGTAAATAAGAGTGTATGTTTTGCTACATAGCACAGCAGCTGTGATAATAGCAGCACACTCTTTTGTTTTGTATCCTTCATGTTGTGAGATCCGTTTTCTCCCACTTAGTCCTTGTCAGGGTAACAGTGGGGCAGGTGCCTATCTTTGGCTGTCCCTGTTGTGTGATTTGTGATGTAATTCTCATTTGGGGAGCAGAGGTTTTTTCGCCCCTTATCAGAAGTTCTAAATATGCAGTTGCTGATCGTCATTACATGCAAATGAGATTTTGTAGAGGAATTTTCTGCAGCCAAAGCCTCATGTATATCCCATTATGCTGCGTTCAAACTGAATTTGAGCAACTGAAGTAGTCTGTTTACATGTAAAGTATATGGTTGAAGTGCATCTCGAGCAGCAGAAGCAGCACATCTTGAATCTGAACATCTGAGCAGTGCCTCATAAGCTTTCTAACATCTGCATTGCATGATGCGCTTCACAAGCAGCAAATGCTAGTTTGAAAATTTGAACTTTTGCAGCTCGACAAACCACATCAACCAATCAGAGAAGCATATATATATAAGGGTAAAATTCTACTAGGTTTACATAAAAAAAAAAAAAAAACATAAAGAAAATAAAATGAAACCCAAGAGGCGACCTGGACTAAGGCAGCTACTACTGTGGAATCCCAGAGACAGCTTACACCAGTATGTGGGAGTCTGTGAGGTAGAGCCCTGCACTCCTGCGGGACTCGTGAGACCCAATACAAAGCTGTGCGGGGAGGGACAAATATTGAAAGCTAATTGCGGGTGCGGGCGGGAGTGGTGATGAGCAGCAGTCGTGTGAACCAAAAACGTGTTTTGAAATGTTAGATTAGATTAGATGAGCTTTATTGATTTCACAGCGGGGAAATTCACTGGTCACATATTGGCATAGTAATTAAAGAAGGTGCAAACAAGGAGGAAAAAGGTGCATTAAGAATAAAACATATATATATATATATATATATATATATATATATATATATACAGTATATTAAGGTATATACAGTATATCAAGATAAATAAGGATTAAGGTGCAAGTGTACATGTATCACACACAATGAAAAACAAAATAAAAATAAGAAATAAAAAATTACAAGGGAGTAGCACAGAGATTTGAGATGTCATATGTACAATCCGGATGGCTTATAAACAGGTGGATTGACTGTTACATTAAAGTGTAGTAGGTATGTGAAATGTAAAATAAAGTCATAAAGTCATAAACTATCAGTCTATGTCTATCATATATATATATATATATATATATATACACACACACATCATAATGTGCTGGGTGGGGCTCCATCATACGGTGTTTAAAATCAAACACCTGTGTGCGCAGGTGTTTCTGCATGTTGGATGTATTTCCTCCCGCGGATGTAATTGCCACTTTACATCCAAACTTTCGATCGATTTATCCGATGGGACGCCATTTTTTTTGTTTTGCTTTTCTAGACTTACGCCTGGTCACGTCATACTTGCTTACTGAATGCCGTGGCGTAACTTGCGTAAAAAACGTGAGGTAACTTTCGTAGAAAACTTCACATAAGTCGTGCCGCCCAGCTCTAGGCTCAGGTGCTGCCTGGAACCGTTAAAAGAATCGTTAAGCGAGCTGCCAAACGGTGCCATGGAATTGGTACACACGGAACCGGTTCTGAACAGGAACCGTTTTTCTATTCCCATCCCTAAAAGCCACTCTGGCATTGAACACAGGAGCAGCAGAAGCATCAGACGCTTCTGTACACCCATCCATCCATTTTCCTCACGCTTATCCCTTCTGGGGTGCTGGTGCCCATATCCAGCCTTCAATGGGCGAGACTGGTGGCCTCTGTACACACGTTACCAAATGAGCTTCAGGAGCATCAAAGATGCTCTTAAGAGATGTCTGACCTTAATGTGGACAAGCATCAAAAATGAAGAAGCAGGAGCCTCTTTGCTGCTCAAATTGTTTCAGCGCTAACGTAACATTACCTCCTGTATGGTTGCAGCTTATTGGCAAGTCGATTGATGGTAGCTACAGACAGACAAGAAAAATAAAGGGATTGGAAAAGGAACTATAACTGCAGTGAAATCTATAACTGCAAAACAGCTGTTGTTTTAAATTTTCTGAAAATCACACTCACTCATTACACTTAATTTCATTTTAATTTGTAAAAAGAAATGAATAAAAAAAATGTATTAAATATGTCATGACATCAAGGTAATGATTTACTGGTGAATATATATGTCTGCAACTGGCCAACCTTACCCCCTCCTCATTCTCCAGGTGTCCCCTGCTCAGCCAACAGGAGGACGGCGGCGGCGTGCATCAGAGATGGACCCTGACGAGAGAAGGCAGCGCTTTCTAGAAAGAAACCGGGCAGCTGCGTCTCGCTGCAGACAAAAACGAAAGCTGTGGGTCAACTCCTTAGAGAAAAAGGCTGAAGATCTTGCCAACATGAACATCTCCTTAACAGTAAGTAATCAACAGATTGTGTCTGAAACATTTAAACATGCTTAGACTGGTCTGAGGACTGAGTGAATGGCGTGCTGTTTATTTTGTGCTGCCATCAGAACGAAGTGACTCTGCTAAGGAACGAGGTGGCACAGCTGAAGCAGCTCCTTCTAGCTCACAAAGACTGTCCTGTCACTGTCATGCAGAAGAAGGCCGCTTTTTTAGGTAACCTTTCCAGATCATTGACTAGCAATCAACCTGTTTGATCACTTCTTGAGCCAGGACTCATCCACCATCTCATCCATCTAATGTGTCATTTTTATTCGCTCACCTCTCTAAGGGTGAATGTTGCTCTGTCTGTCTGTAGCTGCAGGAGGAGAGGAAGCCTCAAGGGAGGCTCCCACTGAGCACATCGGTTCCCCAGCGGCGGTCATTCAGCATGTGCCGTCACCCGCTGCCGTGTCCTCGAGCCCAGGGCCCACAATAAATGGACTAAGCGTCCGAGCTGCAGAGGCAGTGGCCATGTCGGTGTTAGCCGGCATGGGCTCGGGCCAGCCTGGAGGAGTCGTCATTGCACCGCAGTCACAGCCAGCCCCGAGATGATGTGTGGGCTGATGGCAACCAGAATGAACTCCAGTGGCGTTTGGAGGCCAGACCGATGCAAAGCTCGTCGTAAAGAGGGAAGCCACCCTCACTACATAGATGCCCCTTCCCCTGTAGTTACAGTAATCACACAAACACATGGCGACGTACCTTTTGAGAAACGCTTCATCATTCTGTTTGTAAATATTGAATTACGTGTCGAACACTTACTCTGCGGGGTTCGGGGTCAGTTATGACAGTTGGAAATTATTTTAGATTCACAGGAAAAATATGAAAATGGTTTTCAACCAATGAATAATTTAATTTCAGTTTGGAAAGCTGCATCAGTCCAACTTCTTCCCACACTGGTTGTGATGAGGTTTTGTTTCTTTCCAGGCAAACGGTTTTACTGTAATATATCTTTTTTTGTACAAAAAAAAAAGGAAATATAACTTCTGCATTTGTTTTTTTGTTTTGTTTCAAGGATAAACAACCTGTTGAACTTGCCAGTGTTTTTCTTAGTAAATATATAGGAGGTTTTTAGCATCAAATAACCCCAGATGTGGGTAACATTCATCCGTCGTGATTGGTAATGTCTGCCATAATACACAAAGTCCTGTAAGCCTCTTCTTTGCACTTTAATCTTGGGTTCTTTCCAAAGATTTTTATCTGTTTTAAGTCTTTCAAAATGGCAATGTTTTGACATAATTGTCTTGTCCCTTTCCTCATTTTCCCTTTCATTCAGCTTTGCAAGATTCTGAATAACAGAACCACATTATAATGCTCCCATCTCCAAACTTCACTTTTTAGAATTGTATGTTTATGGGGTACAGCACAATTTGTATTTTCAGGCATTGTCCTGTGCAATCACCTAAACTGTTCATGGTTATACTTTGAAAAGACTTCAAGTCTTTCACTAAATGTCCTTCAGCAAACCTGAAGAGTCTTGTGCTGGAAATATAGTTAGCATAAACCAACCTGGTTAACTTTTCCTAAATGTATTCAGTTTGATCATGTAAATTCAGTTTCATTGATTTCTGTGTGTGGATTAGGATGATTGTTACTCACATCTGGTGTTGGTTTCATGTCTGAAAACACGATTTGATGTATGTTTACTTGGAAAATATTCAGGTAAAACTTTGTTTATGATTTATTTTTACTTTGTGTAAAACCTTCCTTGAATGCAGTGATTGCATTCTAGAAACTTTTATTTTTCCCCCCTTTAAACACGTTTCTCTTTTTTTTTTTTGAGTCAACTCTATAAATGCACTCGGTGGATGTTGGTTGAGTTCGCAACAAACCGTAGACGTGAACACAGTTAATCCTGTGATTGTGTGCCCTTTTTATTATTAATATTTAACCCATTTGGAATGGATATCATGATATTAGTCAATCGTATCAACCCTAACTGACTGCATGGATTACTTCAGGCTGAAGAATACCACTGTTTGTACGTAGCCCATTATGCTCTCACTGTTTTTTAACATCCAGCTATAAATGTGAAAATTGTCCCGGCTCTCTAAGGATTCATTTGTGGCCCTGAAAGCTTTGGACTATTAGAATTTTAACTGATAATCAAAAGTAACAGGTTTTAAATCCTTTACCCAGGCATTTCAGTTGAGTAAAGAGTAGTGCAATATATTTTTCTATTGAATATCAATGTTCTTGCTTTGAGTGGACATGTAGAGTCGGACTGCTGACAGGGTTTGCGCTATTTCAGACAAACGCTACAGTAACGAGGTGACCAAAGGAAATGTGAAGATTATTGTTGAGTGAATGGATCGTGGATCAGTACACATGTAAAGTTACACATGGTCTGATTTAGAGCTTTGTACCATTATTGCATTATTAACCAGATTAATTACACATGCAAGGTGCTTCTCTTCATGTTCTTCTGCAGCTTTGTATTATGGCAATGTTCTTACAAGACTATCACCTTTTTTTTTTTTCTTGTAACCATTTTAGAAAATGTGTTTTAGTTTATTTTCTCTGTGGGAATGTTACGGTTTTATCCTCCGTGTGATTGTATTGGTTCTTTTTCTTTTAAGAGGTTTTTATTTTATTTTGGTGTTTTAAGGTTGAACTATGTTGGGGAGCATTTTGAAAATATCTGTGGAGAAATACTCAGGCCTCAGGATGGGAAATAACTTGTGTATAGTCTCGGCTAATAAATACATTGTCTTGGACAAATGAAATAAATTAATGCGCAACAAAAAAATAAAACATTGTTTTATTCTTATTTGGCTGGATTCTCAGCACTTTGAAAGGTTAAATACCAGACTACTTTTTGAATTGAAAGTAAATTGAAGTTTCCTTATATAGTTCTGTTCATGTATTCGGGGCTTTTCTCGTTTTAATGTACTTTTTTTTTGTGTGCAGGAAGTACATACCTTGGTTACCCTGTCTCATATGAAGAAAAAACATTGTAACACTAAGTTGAACTCCACAAAAACAGTTAATCTGCATGTTGGGAGAGGTTTGCACTTTTAAGATCAGTTTTGAGTGCTGCTAAGAGGCAAGGCAATTTATTTGCATAGCTAAATTCATAATAAGGACAATTCAAAGTGTTTTACATGAAACAATAAAACAGAAGCTAAATAAAAGCAAACTTAAACTAAAAATGTCTCAGTTAACAGCTTAACAGTCAAAGGCAGTTCTAAACTAATGAATTTCCAACTTTGACTTAAAAGAACTCTGACTTTTAAAGCACTTTTACAGTATTCTAGTTTGTTCTAGATACAGCTGAGCTTCAACTTCCATTAAAGACAGAAACAAAAAGAAGCTTATTACTTTTGTAAATTGAAATTCACAACAGTAATAATTTTTTTTTTTTTTTAATGACACTGATTTTGGGAAAAAAATATGTATGTATATAAATACATTTTTTTGTTTTTTTCGAAAACAAAGAAGCTGACAGGCAATGACTACTATTAAACCCCTGATCTAAATTGCTTAATTGCTTTAATTTCTCTGGGAAAGTTTTTTTTTTTTTTTTTTTTTTTTTTTTTTTTATAGAAAATTTCTTATTCAATATTTTACCCAATTATCATTTGGCACATTTTCATTTATAATTACTTCTTTCAGTTTTATGTTATTTGAATTACTGTGAATTTAAAACGTTCTCTAATGGGAGGGTATATAAACTTTAAGCATAACTATAAGTGGAGTAAGGAACAAAATACTTCTTCATGTTTGGTTCTAGTTCTGGGTGTACAGAGAAGGCTTGGAATAGAAGACCTGAGTGGTCTGGGAGGTTGATACACTGACAAAAAATCTATTAATGTATTAAGTTGTTAATTTATTCAGTGATTTATGGACTAACAGAAGGATTTTAAAGTCTATTCTCTGAGCTACAGGGAGCCAGTGGAAGGACTGATGTGCTCTACTTTCTTAGCTCTAGTGAGAACCCGGGCAGCAGCGTTTTACACTTAAAGCTTTATCCAATAGAATTGTAGTAACACGTTCCATCTCAAATAATCAATAGATTTTTTCTTCATTCTGGAAAGACGACTTGTTTTCTTGATTTAGAGAGGGGGCTTTGTATTAAGGGAAAAGAAAAGACAGCAAAAATATTTTTGCTGAATTTCCTATGAGAACAGAGGACGTCTTAGTTTTCTTGAATTTATTAAAATGTAGGAATTATCTATGATCATTTATTAGATCTGTAAAAAAAAAAAAAAAAAAAAAAAAAAAAAAGCTTTTGTTGTGAGAGGCCAGCTGCTACCACCAGGGGGAGCAGTGGCTCCACTTCCTGCCTCCACAGGGTCCCATTACACTGGGTCACGTGACTAAAGGACTCCTCTCCACTGACTTGCTCCCATCTCCCTCAGTCATGGCGGTGTTCGGGAGTCGTGGAGATGGAGTAAACATCACCCTTTCCACATCTTGATAGTGTCTCCTGTAGCTGGATAAAAACCTTCCGCCGTTGGAGCGACCAGATTCGATCCGATCCATCCTGTTGGCTGCCGAGCTTCCAAGGATGACCGAGCGCAGCGTCGATCTGTCGGCTCTGCCGAAAGAGGTCAGGGACCAGCTGGCGGAGCTGGACCTGGAGCTGTCCGAAGGTAGGCTGGACTTCCAGGCAGACCAGAGGCTTCTGGAGTTTTAGATGGTGTGGATTTGATGTGAACTGGAGAACATTCGGCGTGTTTATGTTCCCTTAGGGGCTGACAGCCTGTCACCTGGGTTAGTCCCAGTGAATGCAGTGGGTTTAGTCACGAATTTATCAATTGATAAACCCACATCGACCCCCTTTAAAGCAGTCAATCCTTCCTATGTGTGCAGTTAAACACAAAGATAATCATCTATAGTTTATGTTTTGATCACAAATGACAAATTCAATCTTGATTTTATTCTAATCCACATTATCATTAATCTATATGAGCATCTACTAACTCTTGTTGTTGAATGTGGGTCACATTTGTCAACCCAGAGGCCCTGTGTGATGATGATGATGATGATGATGATGATGATGATGATGATGAGTGGACAGATGATGCTGTGGCCCATCCAGCATCCATCTTTACTTCTCTACTCAGGATCTGCAGCACATATAGAGGGCCTATACTGAAAATAACATTAATGGAGGAATATAGGGAATATGGGTCTGACTGTTATGCAAGTCTCCTCGTCACGCTGTGAATCACTAGGCAGAAAGTTGATTTGTGCCATGCAGTTCTCTGATGCCTGGAGGAGGATGAGTAATGTAATGCTTCACACAGAACCAAGACAGAGAAGGTATGTGCCACTAATTATGTCTTGGTCCCTGAGCTGCAAAATAAACATATACCTTTAGTCCTACTGACTGTAGGAGCAAAGGTGAAATAAAAGCTTCACATTGCAGGATGTTGGCGTAGAATGCATTCCTATTATATATTTCACAGCTATACTGAAGCTGAATTTATCCTGACTGCCAAAATAAGGACCTGTTTTGTTCATATGCTGCTAACACTTTCTTTAAACCATTTTGATCACTTGATTACCCTTTACAAATTGAGTCCTCGGTGAGGTCTAGAAGCACAAGATCTATATCTAGCACATTCTGCAAAGATACTGCTATATGGCTGTACATTATTACTTTGGCATTTGACCAATTAGATGAGCTTTTGAATAATGTATTACGTACTGTACATCAAGTTGGAAAAAAGTTAACAAGAAAAAAAAAGGTAATAATCTAATAAGCCTCGTTAACAATTATATTTAGGTTTATAAACTAAAAAATGTAAGTGCCAGTATCAGCATTAATGCCTCTAAGGTTAGGTTGGACCAAAAAAAAATCGGTTTCTTTCACTCTTAGACAGAATTTCTCATAAAGCACTTTTGTTATTTTTCTTAATATGTTTGAGCAAGTTTGTGTTTCTTGTTATTACGCTAACATTACATTTTGCCATTAAAATATCCATGTTTTTTTTAATCTTACAGAGGTAATAAGGTCTTTTCCTGGATTCCAATAACACTATTGGCTTGAAATTTGGATTTTTAAAGTATTTCTTATAGTGCCTTATAAAGGATTAAGAAAAACAGCCGAACTGATGCTCTCAATAGATGTGATAACCCTATTTCGTCTTTAATGTGAAGTTTTTGTCAGTTCCTCTGAAGATATTTTTGCCTATTGGACCAATTTTATCAAGATTAAGGTCGGGCATAACATCTGTCAGCTTTAAGGCAGCACTTTGATCCTAAATGGTAAAAAAAAATAAAATAAATAAAGACTTGCTTGTTTGTTTCGGATGCTTGTCTGGCTAACATTTTCCTTCAGGATTAGCTGATAGAGAACAGAATTCATATTTCCATTAAATGTATGGAGCTGTTCAGGACCTGAAGCAACAGAACAGCTCCTCACCATCATACTACCAGCACCATGTTTGAGTGAAGGTATGATTTTTTTTTTTTAAATACGGATTTGTTTTACATTTAGATGTAGAGGTCGGTAGGTTTACTCAGTCACTCTGTTATTGTTCATGAACACTGAGCTTAAATTAGTTGGTGTTTTCTCCATCTGAGGATAGAGGCTTTCATTAGTGTTAAAAAAAGCCTAAAAGTCAAATTGCTCTGTAAACCTCTCCAGACTGATAGATGATCAGATCTATTGATTATTTCTTTAGATTGGTGGTTTGAGTAGTTCTTTTATCCAGCCTCGTGTTCTCAGACAGGTTATATTTAACTACTTTTTTAATCCTAAAGTCAGAAATCTGGGTATGGATAGTAAAACTGAATTAAAAAAGGTAGTTAATAAGGTTTATTTTACTGGGAGAGAGTGATTCATTTCTTATTTAGGGGCAGTTTGATTTGGAATGCCACCAATTTAAAGCTGCTTTTTTGAAAATCAGCTCAATGTGAGTTTTATTTAACTAGTTCAATGCTCTGTAATTTTTAAGGGACAACACTCTTAGTTTTGCATAAGCTATCAAATTCCCTTGATTTTAGGTGACGCCTCATATTTCACTGCCTCAGCCTGTCTCAGAGAGCCACCTGGTCGTTTGAAACCTTAGATCAAATGTAATGAAAAGCTTCTGCTTTCCAGATGCTTCCATTTTTGTATCTACACCTTCTGTAATGAAGCGCCCTCACCGTCTGCCCAATGTCCGCCAAGCCTGCGACAAGGCCAGCAGCAGCCGGACACCCAGCAAGCTCGAAACTTTCTCATGGATATCTTTTACATGACAACAATCCCCCCCATTGTTGTCCTTTTAGATGGGATTCCCCCTTAGCAACAAGAAAAGGAAAGTGTGCATCAGCATCTTTCATGTCCTTTCTCTAAATGCAGTTTGATATGTGGTTCCCTCTGTGCATGTTGGTGGTGGTAATAGCTGTTAGGGGAGGAAACAGAACAACTGCATGGATTCTAACTTCCGTGGCTAGAAAGACACAAAGAAAAGCTTTGACAGGATAAAGGTCTTAGTGACCGAGCTGGGCTGGAATGTAGAGCACTAAACCACAGCGGTTTAAGCTGCTCAGAACCAGGGTACAAGTGTGCAGATTCAATGCTTATTCCCTCCATCATGGAGATTATGTGTTTGACTATATTGTTGTATTTTAGATGGCTGCATTTGTGAAGACATATTGGCTTTGTCTGGATTCTCTTCACAGAATGGGACATCTGTCATAAGGAGCATCTTGAAAAACAAAGCTTACCTGTTTTATTAGTATTTTATATGATACGATTACATAAAGTACTTCATAATACGCAGTTTTCAAATGTTTTATATGAATAGATAT